CTTCAAATGAGATCTTAAAGGGGAAAAAAAAAAGTTGCTCACTCTCTTCTTCTCCACTCCCTGTGTGCATGCCCCTTTTCTCCTTCTCTTTCTCTTTCTCTCTGACCCTCCCCACCTCCACTTTCCCCATGGCGACTTCCCAGCTTCAGTCCTTGGGGCCAGTGAATTCTCCTAGCCAAGAGAAGCTTCCCAGTAAACCTGCATTTAATATTTAAAAACAAAGTTAACAAGGAAAGATGAGCCAAGGATGGAACATAGAAAAAAATGCATCTGAAAGATGAAACAAGTTCCAGGTAAGGTGAGAAATGAGGCTAAAGACAGTAGCAAGAGTTTACTAACACACACGTCAGTGGTCTTCAGATGCCTTGGGGTACAGGTAGTCACTGCAGAGTTGGCTAGCCAGGAGAGACTTTCTAGGTACAAAGCTGGCAAACCTTGGACTCCAAGGGTCACATCAGCTATCTGGTCTCTCTGAAGTTTGTAGCTATACCCTCAAGCAGCAGGCTTTTCAAGTAAGAGAAGGGTCAGTTTATCTGGCGCTCACAACAGTCCTGATCCCTCCCCAGGCATGCCTAGCACCAACAGAATGACACTGGATCTCCTGAACCTCTTCCAACAAGACCAGGCAACTCCTGCTATAGGCCTAGTAGTAGCTTCTGGAAGCTTCTTCCTGCATAAATGGAGAAAGCTAACAGGGGCCCAAAATAGTGGAAGGCTGAGGAGCTGAAATCAGCCACTAAAATTACAAATATTTTTATCTGTTGTCCAAAAGAGGAGCATTGGCTCATCTTCCAAGTGTGTCGCTGTGGAAGTTCGTCTGCTCCTTCTTATGTACTCAACTCCAGGTCAGAGGCAGTCCCAGATCCCAGGCCTCCACACAGGCAAAACCAACACTTTGGCAACTGGGCAGCCTCCTCCATCTCTGGTTGGATTTTTTTTCTTTTTTCTTTTTTCTTTTTTTTTTTTTTTTGAGACAGAGTCTCAATGATATAACCCATGTTAGCCTCAAACTCGGGATCCTCCTGCCTCTGCCTCCTAGGTGCTAGGATAGCAAGTGTATAACTCCACACCCAGATGAGACAAAGAAAATTCCTTATCAACTATGAGAAAGTGGGCTTAGATGAGGAACTACAAGCAGAAGAGTGCTGCCAACCCAGGAGCAGCATCGCATCTCCAGGACTGAGACGAGCTGGGGAACCAGTGCTCACTGAACAGTGCTCACTGCTGCTGGCTGACGAACAGAGGCTGCAATCCTGCATATCTATCTCAGGATCTATGAAGACAGGGAGGGCAGAGTGCTTGGGACTTCTGCTCCACCAAGACACCAGGCATGATGAGAAAGACACAGAGCTTCCTCTTGCCTGAACCAGGCTCTACTGAATTCCTAGAGTAGACCTCAAGGAGGGCAACTGGTCACACTCCACTGAGAGCCTGAGGCTTAGAGAGGCCCAACAGGAAGTGATAGACCAGAACTCCTCTAACTTTGTGACATTGAGTGTCCTCCAAAAGTCAATGTCAAGAAGAAGGACCAAAGTCTGAATGCTCCCCATATCTTACATTTCCTGGAGGCCAGCTACCAAAGTGGTCTGGCCGACTCTAGAGAGCTTAGGTGAGACCACAGGAATTATTTAAAAGAGAGAAAGAAGGAAGAGTCTTAGATGTATCTTGAATGTATCCAATGTCTTTGAACTTCAAAACCTCTAGTGAGAAAAAAAAAATCTGAAGTTTCAGATCTTCAAGAGAGAGGGAAAGGTTTACAAAGAAATTTCTGAGCACTGTCACTGGAAGGTCTAAAGGAGGAGGGCGGAGCTAGGCAAAACAGCTGTGGTGAGGTGCTAACCTCTGCTGAGCTGCCTTCAAAGCCTTGCTCCAGACAGTGTCAAACTCCGCCTCTGCCCTGGGGCTTCCCAGGATCACTGCCTCGGTAATCTTCTGCCAGGTCTTGTGATAATGAATGCTCGCTCTCTCCACACCTAAGAACCTGATGGCTTTGCCACTAAAGCCACTATGGAGTGAAGAAAGAAGAGCTCCATCTGAGGACTAAAGGCCATTAAAGGATCACCTGGGCCTCTTGTTTACCACTGCCGGCTCTATCAGAGGCTCAGGGGCATGGAAGGACAGAAGACAGGACTGAAGAGGAGGCACAGGCTGACTGCTAAGATGGTGTTCACAAACCTGTGTAAAAGCCCTCTCTCCTGTGGATGGCACCAGGCCTTCTTTTTTCCCAGTATGAGATTCCTATAGAATTCCACTTTATTGGAGTCCATTGTTTCAATGTATCAATTTTTCTGATAGAAAAATGAGGGACAGGAGTGTCTCCACAAAAGTATCCTACCTCCTGCCAGCCAGCAGGAAGAGCTCTCCAATTGGTAGAGATGTGAGGCATCTCAGCTATTCTACCATGCTTCCACCATGATGATCTCTGAGCTAAAATAGTTCTCTTCTCTCATAAATACCTCCTTTAGGTATTTTACCATAGTAACAAAAAAGCAACTCACGATCAGTGGGTGCAGAAGACATCTCCTAAGCAGTCCCAACATGAGGTCCTTACCACAGCTCCTCCCCCCACCCAGTGCCATTCTGATAACCCCCACTCCATCAACTTCCACTCTGATAACCCTTTTTACCCTGTCTTATGGAGTCTTCATTCAATGACTAAATTGACACAGCCTAGTCCTGGGAGAATTTAAAAATATGTTCCTCAAAGCTCACTCATCGCTTGCCAATAAAAAGTTCCTGACATAAGTAGGACATAGTTTTTGCCTTCAGAGACTTGGTATCCACTAGAAGGCTAGCTATTCTTGGTTGTCAACTTGACTGCCCCTGAAATTAACTAAAACTCAAGTGGCTAGGTATACCTGAGGTAGTTTTTATTTTTGTTTTGTTTTCGAAACAGGGTTTCTCCTTGTAGTCTTGGCTGTCCTGGAACTCACTCTACAGAGAGTAGAGTGGCCTCAAACTCACAAAGATCTGACTGCTTCTTCCTCCTGAATGCTGGGATTAAAGTTCCTGTCTTAGGAGATTTTTATTAATGAAATCATTTGAAATGGAATTATCCACCTTTAGATCTTGAGAGGTGGGAAAGCCCACTTTACATCTGGGCCACAACTTCTGCTGGCAGCCAATAGAAAGAACATGGGAGAAAGAATCTTTTGCTCTGCCTGCTTGCTCTCACTGGCAAGTCCACTCTTTCACTGTCATTAGAGCCTATGTCTTCAGGATTCAGCTGAGAAATCCAGCCTTGTGGGCTGAACAACTACTGGATTGTTGGACTTTCCATTAATAGATAACCATTATTGGATTAGCCCAACCATAGCCTCGAAGCCACTCTAATGAGTCCTACTTAGACAGACAGACAGACAGATGCTAAATTCATTCATTCATTTGTTTAATCAGGTCTGGTCCTCCAGAAAACCCTGACTAATACACAGCCCTGCAAGGGAGAACTGTCCCCACTGCACAAAGAGCCTTCTGAGCACTAACTAGGGACTCAGTAATCTGGGTTCACTGCCACCACCCAACACTGTCTCACAACCCCACTGTGAAAAGCATTTGGACAGAGTTGTCTTAGTCTTGGTTTCTTTGGATCCTTCCTTAAAAGCTGTCTTGTCAAACTGCAGCTTGCCTTCCCCTAAGCTCACCTGAGTTAGAACTCAAGCTGTGTGCAGCATCACTACTTTTCTCTTACTTAGAAACCAAATAAAAAAGCACAAGGAAAATGGTGACCTGGAGCTGGAGGTGTGGCTCAGCGACAGAGATGCGCTGTTCTCCTGGCACCCATGCTGTGGCATGTGTACCTGGCACCTGTACATACACGCGCACACCACACACCATATATCACACACACACATATACACACAGACAACACACACACACACATCATACATACACAGACACACACAGACAACACACACATATACCACACACCACATATCACACACACACACACACACATATACCACACACCACATATCACAAATACACATACACCACACACGTATATACACACAGACACCACACATACACAAACACACACACATATACCACATACCACACACACATAACACACCACACATATACACAGACAACACACACATACCACATACCACATGCTACACACACATACACACATACCCCACATGCCACACATGAGGCTTGTAATTGACTCAATAAATGTTATCAATGACCGTTCATTCCCTAGATGGCATGCGAATGACTGACTGGGTAATGTCTCTCTAGACTTCATCTGCATGTATGCCTCAGGAACACACGGGTATGCTTGCCTTTGTATGTTACATTTGTAGGGCTTCTTCTATCAGGGAACACACATCTGAACCAAGACACCTATAAGTGCAAATGCTTTAAGGAGGTACAACAGGCAGAGGCTGTGTGTGGAGTCGTCAGACCACTCCTGGTCACCAACAAGTTCTGCTACCTCCACAAAAGCCACTCTTCTTTACTGGTTTACATCATTCTTCAACTGCTTCTGTGCTCATATGTGTGTGGAAGCCACGACAACCTTGGATGACATCTTTAGAAAAGATGTATTCCTCTTGAGACAGATTCTCTCTTTGGCCTTGAGCTTGCCAGCCAGGCTGTTCTGGTCCTCTTGTTCCTGCCTCTACCCTACAAGAGTGAGCCACCACGCCCAGCCTTTTCTTTTTACCTCAGTTCTAGGATTTAGACTCGGTTCATGATGGTCATCCAGCAAGCTCTCTCTGACTGGACCTTCTCTCCAGTCCCAAGTTCTGCTTTTAATGTCCCATATTCACGCTCTCCTACTCACTCGCCACAGATCCCAAGTGTTTCGAGCTAAGTAATGCTTTCCACAGAATGGACTTTTCCTTCTCTCCCAAGTACTCTGGGTTTATCTCTCTGTGTTTAGTCTTTATGGTCTATGGCGCCGGCTGGCTGCTATAGCAGGTGGGCCCTTACCCAGGTCACACCAGAGCAGCCAGCATTCCAGATAACCACAGCATCAGAAATAGGGCCAGCCTTACCTCAATGAGCTTCCTCTCATAGGAGCTTGCTAGTTCCTCAGCAACTTCCCCAGGCTTCTGTTCAGGGACTGTGACTTCTGCATCAACGTTCCAAAGACTAGGTACAACTTCAGGAAAAGAAAGACACTCAGGTAAGTGTTTTAACATACCTCAGAAATACATTGCCTTATTTTAATACATGTATTTTGTTTACTCAATATTTATGCACATATGTGTGCATATGTACAATTTCTCCAGAGAGAGAGGTCTTAATAAGGAAAAAATACACTTAGTAATTATGTTAACAGTACAGCACTCTTACACAAGTGCATCAAGACAAGGGGTGGTTAGGGTCTTCTGACAGTATAAGGGTTACTGGAGTTCTGCACAGAGTTGGAGGTGACCTTATCACCCTGTAAGCCTTGGGGGGAAAGAAGAAATGTCTTAGCAGCCCACAAGCTCATGCATACAACTTTCATACTGTCCAAACATCATTTTCTCAAACAAAAAGAAAACTTATTCTAGGAGGTGGTGCCTGCCTACAGTGTGCTTGGAACAGTGCTGCCAGGTCCCAGGCTGTGGTGCTTTAAATGAGAATGGCTTCCTTAGGCTCATATGTTTGAATATTTGGTCCCAAGTAACAGGAGCTGTTTGGAAAAGATTAAGAGGTGTGGCCTTGTTCAGGGGGTGTGTCACTGGGTATGGGCTTTGAGGTCTCAAAAGGCTCAAGCACGTGTACTCTGCCTCCTCTGTGTAGATCCAGGTGTGAGCTCTTAACTATTCCTGCGCCATGCCTCTGCGTGCCATCATGGATTCTATCTCTCTGTACCATAAACCCTACTAGACACTTTCTAAAGTGCTTTCCTCATGGTGTTTTATCATAGCACTGGAAAGTAACTAATACAGAAGTAGAACCAAGAGCCATCTGTAAAGGCTCCTTAGATGGAAATCCAACAGCCTGGAGGAAGTCTCTGAGAGCAGTACTGCAGGGCACATGCTAGGGGATCATGCCATACAAGGCGTGCTGATCCATGAGTGCCTCTTTTGTACTTGAAGACCAAATAATTAAGAAGCTGGGACTGAGTCGGGCAGCTGCAGTGACTCCTGGAGAACAAGAGCAAGACAGGATGCAGCACTGGACAGAGAAAAGGCCCAGTGATATACTTCACAAACAGGGACCAGGCTCCATTTCCAGCATGTGCTGAGAGGTCAAAGCCCTGAATGCCTAATAACCCATAATGAGATTATACTGGGGTAGAACCGAGGCCTGAGGTAGCTCAGGTGACAAAGAGCAACCTGCAGAGCTGGGCAGCCATCAGGAGAAGCAAGGCCGTGGAGGACAATGGAATGCCCTAGGTTCTAGAAATTTAAGTTGACTTTAACCACCATAGGAGTGACCAGCAACACCTAGTGACTTGAAGAAACTTAAAGGTTCCAGTGAAAGATGATTAAAGGAGCATGTTACTTTAAATTCATTTCCTTTAAAATGTGAGCTATCTTTGTCCTAAAGAAAAGGGAAACTTGTAGAGGAAATGAAACAAAAAATACAAAGCTGAGCGACAGGCCAGTAAAGAAATTCCAGCCCTGGGTAGGAGTACGGGACACACACCAAAGTACACTGTGACTCAGGTGGAGTGACTCCCATGGCTGCACAGTACCAGTCAGACAACACTGGCCTGAGAGGCAAACAGGGATCAAAGCCACAAGGGCATGGGCAGTCAGAGCGGCTCTGTCTGTGGGGAAGCTAACAGTAGGCAGGTCTGCATTGAGTGGAAGTTAGGGTGCCTTACTGAAAACAGGGAGTTGGGGGTCAATCCACAGTGCCCTTGTGTGCAATCCCAGCATTCCAGAGTCTGAAGTAGCACAATCCTGCATTTCAGGCTCACATGGACTACTTAAACTGCAGGGGGAATGGGAGGAAGGAGGTGGTAGTGGTATCCCCAACTCTTATTTTAAAGGCAAAATAAAAGCCTGAATGAGAAGGTATAAACGCCTGACACAAGTAGATTCCTAAAGTTAGCAGAGGACAACAGGGGAGCTTGTCTCAGGAAGTAAATGACAGGAGGCTGAAGTGCTTAAATACAGGAGATTCCTTGTAGGAAAGAAAAGCCCATGAAACTCAAAAATGATGAATACACAGAACACCAAACAACACAAAATAGAAGAAAAAGGTGAATATCATCTCCAGTGAAAACAGGCTGCCACGTGGGATGAGGCCACTTATCTGGTGCCTTAGCATGTTTGTAGCCACCACAGCACAATCACAAAACAACTAGAATGTCAGTGCCAAGGCTGGAGGTCAGCTGCAGATGTGTGCTTTGCGGGTCTGAGGGAGTGAAAGCAAAGGTACTCCTCATCTTCACACAAGTCATCAAAAGTGCTTACAAACAAACTACCCACCTTCCAGAACACAGCCGCCTCCAGCAACTCAGTGCCAGCAGCTACGGCATCACAGCTGCCAAACGCAACACATTTCCACTGTCACCACGGGTCCCTTACAAAGGCCTTGCTACCACATTCCCGCTCTCATCCCGGCTTTCTCTTATCTCCACTGCAACAGATCCACCTTTCGTCTATCACTTGGCCCTCCATCTATAGCTGGCCATTAGTAAGTGATCCCTCTCAGGTGGAGAAAAGCTTCCCTGAGTCCAGGACTCAGGGCCGAGGTGTCCACCTCTGACCCTTTCCCTTGGGGTTTTGCTTTTTAACTCAGTTTTCACCTTTTGGCTTTATTTGAAACTACTGATACCAGGCACTGTCTCTCCTTGGACTTTTAGACTTGACCCCCAGTCCAGTGAGGTGATGATCCACGAGATAGCTGTGCCTTCCTCAGTCAGTCCTCCAGGTGCCCTGTGAACCCCACAGACTACAGGCATCAGACATTTCTCCCTTCCTCATCCATGGGAACAGCATATGGTGTCTTCCATACAAAACCTCCAGCTTCTCCATCTGGTACCCGACTTGAAGTGCTCCAAATTGATTCACTTTTGCAATCAATTCTGACCTCAAAATTCCTTTTACTCAATCTTAATTCAACTGACCAACAGTATCCTATATCCCAGTATTATTCAGAATCTATACAAATACTGCAAGCAGCCCTGTTCTTTTTTGACTCTACACACTGCAAATGTTCCGTCTTCAAGTCACTGTTGATAGATCTGTAAGTTTGTTGCAAAGTGAGAACTGGAGCCAGACCTAGCAGGAGGGGTGGCAGAAGCAGAGGAGCAGGCCAGCTGCAGCAAGCACCCACCCAGCACACACCTGTTCTCCCTGCAGCCTCCACTCAAAACCAAGCTGCTGATCTGACTCTCCTAAGGTTTGTATGGATCATTTGTTTCTGCTGGCTCCTGCCTCCCCGGAGATTTGATTCCAAATTCTAGAGTCTGATTCTTAAGCTGCTGCTTCCCTCTTGGCTGCTGTGCCCTCTACGTGGGCAACAATGGCTTCTCTGGCTCCTGCCCTGCTGCACCTCTGACCTGCACTCACATAGACATCTCCTTTTCTCCTGCTCTGCCCAGTTCTTTCCCCTCCCCCAGGACTGCAGTCCCACCTCAACTGCCTGGACTCTTTCCTTTGTGCCCTCGGACTCTGAACTGCATGCGCTATCTTTCCTCGCGCTTTCCTGGATCTAGATTTATCCAGCTTCTTTGTCTTACCCCAAGAGCTGTCTGCTAAGTCCTATGGCTTCTCTGAACCTCCCGGCTTCTGGGATCTTGGAACCCTTCCTCTGGGTGGAGTTCCTCCCTTGTTTGTCCTTGTTCCTTAACTGTTCTTCCCCTTCTCTAGCCATAAAGTGTCTCTGGCTCCTAAAGCCTGCCTCTGTGCCCTTGGGGCCTGCTCCACACAGCAACACAGTTCTCTCCCAGCTCTGGCCTATCATACCCACCTGGGCTTCACACTACCTACGTATATCTTTATTTATATCTTTGCTAACTGTTCAACACCAGGCTTCTAAAAAGTTGAGATAAGTAAAAACATGTTTGATAAGTAAGATTCATAAATTTCTAAGGTCTACTCAGGTTCACAGTAATATTTGTCTAGCTTCTTTGTCTTTGCTCACTTTAAGATTTAGTAATTTGAGACGGGCGGTGGTGGCGCACGCCTTTAATCCCAGCACTTGGGAGGCAGAGGCAGGTGGATTTCTGAGTTCGAGGCCAGCCTGGTCTACAGAGTGAGTTCCAGGACAGCCAGGACTACACAGAGAAACCCTGTCTCAAAAAAACAAAAAACAAAAAAAAAAGATTTAGTAATTTGGATAAAATAAAACAAAAACAAACAAACAAAAAACCCCTCAGTATTCTATAATGGTATAAATGGATCAGTAAAGTTGCCAGCCTCCCTATAAACTATATCTATGAGTAAAAATTTTAGTTTGAAACTAAAAAAGTTTCAATTCAAAAAGTGTTATTTTTAAAGCTCAAACTTAAAATGGATAAGCTTTAAAGTCCTAATCTAATAAAAACTACTAACTCATTGTAAACTGTTAAAGATGATTAAGACATTTACGTTAATGATCAGTCAATCACCTTATAGATGATAGAATTCTTTAATATATTCAGTACTACACTTGTGCTCATGCTAAAGTACTAATGCACTTGGTTACAGGGTAAGCTTTATTAAGCCTCCTATATACGCTTCCAAAGTTAGACCTAAAAGAAGTAACAGAAATAAGCAGAGTTTGTTTAGTTTAAATATACTTAACAGATAATGATCTTCAAACTCTTCAGAGAGCTGCTGAATATAGCATTTAATGTTTAATAAAAAGCTTCCTGTGATACAGAGATATGCCAGCTCCTGGAAGCTGCCCTTAGATCTTCTCCAAAGAAGATGGTAGGCACAGAAGAACTCCACCTGGAGCTTGCTTTAAATGTGGCAAAGCTGGGAAAAAACTGCCCTTTACCTCATCCACTACCAGGACCCTGCCCAAACTGTGGACAAGCAGGACACTGGAGAGTTGATTGCCCCACTCTGCCTAGACAAGGTAGGCCAGTCTCCCTAAGTTCCTCCTCCACAGGAGAATCTGTCAGATTCTGGGCCTGGGAACTGAAGACTGACGCTGCCCTGGGACTTTTGCCCCCAACGACCTGGGACTTTTGCCCCCAACGACCATGTCCAGGTAGCTGGTGAG